AACTCGTGGCCTTAACAACTGAAAGCTTTACAGTGTTCACGCTGCTGAGGTGTCAGGAGCGCAGCGGGGCCGCCTGGCGCCTCGTAGCAGCCGTCTCTTTCTCTCGTCTTGCTGCGTCCTGTCTGTGGAGTCCTCAGTCACTCTGCCGCTGGAGAGTGCTGGAGGAAATGCACTTTTATTGTGCTGCACTTTTTATAGAGCTGCATTATTGGTGACCCCAGTTTAAAAATCCATATTCAGAAATACCCTCACGCATTCTTGCATCAGTGATTCTAATGCTCAGCGGTGACCGGGCCTCCGCTCACACGGTCTCCCAGGAAAAACTCTACAGAGCATCTTTTAAAGCAAGAGATTCACACAGGCCAAGTGATGAGAGGTGGAGTCACTAAGGCTTCAGCCCCAAGGGCATTTCCAGCCTCAGGCCGGCAGGTCCTATGTCCTTGACACAAACGCTTCTTGCCGAAATCCTCCCTAGTGATGCTGCGAGTGCTGTTGGTCCCAGTTCTGTGTAGCTTGCCCTGCCCCACGAAGGGCCACCAGCCGAGGGCCCTGACCACCTGTGCACCACCTTATTTTGGAAGTCTCTGGCTTGTGTGCTGGATGAGGCCACCAGAACTTGTTGGGCCGGCATCGCTGCTAGTACATACATGAACCATGAGGTGTTAAACTTTTCTTTTGAAGGTTTGGCCAGTTTCTAAAAAATGCACATTTAAAGAGAAGCATCTACCACTGCTTCAAAACAAAACAACTCTGAGATGAACAATATGTGTTATACTCAGAGACTAACAATCTCAATCATACATACTGATTCTTTCAGACATTTAATAACCACTACATTTTTTTTGCATTAATGAAGTTTGAATATATGTGTAAAGGGACTAAATATTTTTGCAACAGCCTGTTTTTTGTTCATTCTTTTCTGGATAGTGTGTCCTCTGTGTTGCAGTAGATTTATACATTCTGTTGCCTAAATATGTGTGTAAAATGAACTGATAAACTGGAGTACTACTTTAAAAAAAAGCTTCTGTGATTTATAAGATATATATGCTTTCTATGTTAATATAAGCTTGTGCACAATGTTTAAAAGAAAACAATTAATTAGAAGCATTCCCGTCTCCCAGTCTGACATGTTTCATACAGAATTTTTAATAGAGAAACTCTGCTAGTCTTGGCAGACATTTGGCCATGTGAGGCATGTGGTCAGTTTCCATTTTCTGTTACCGGAAAAGGGCCATAAGGAAGCAGGCAGGGCTTAGGTAGCTTGGTTACCTGAGTTAGAAAGTAAGAGAATCATGGTTCGGGTGTGAATTGAAGTGGTTGGCACATGGATACCTGTTCTTGAAAAGGAATGTGGGAGATGAGTCAAGGGTGAAGCCGATTGTTCTCCCCATGACCTGCCACACCAATCTCAGTAACAGTCTCGCCTGTCATTGCACTTAGAATCTGAAGATCATGTGTAAAATATGTTGATTTGAGCTTCTGTTTCTTAGCCCGAGTCCCAGGACAGCAGTGGCACTGACCAGCTATGGACTGGGAGAACATTGAGTCCTGCTATCCATTGGCTGCAGGGTACATTCATGTGGATACAGGAAAAGCCTCTTTCCACAGACTTAGGAGGTCCCCCGACCACGCAGGCTGCACTCAGCTGGGCTGCACTCAGCAGGCTCCTTGAGTGGGAACCGTCCCAGTGGACTCCAACATGCACTGCCCTGGCTGGGACTAGGCATGCTTCCAGCCCTTCCCGTGCTCTCCCTGCTGTCAACACTTGAGTACAAAACTGCCTAGCTGTGGGTAAGTTTTCATCAGTCGCTTAAGTACTAGTAGCAAAAACTGAAATTCATTCAGAAAGTTGCCACTTCTGAATGAGTAGAGCAGGAAAAATAAACTTTACTGAAACATAATTTGCTGCAACAGTCAACGTTGTTATGCTGAATTTGCTCTGAGCTGCCCTTTGCTCATCGCCAGATTTATTATTCAGTGTATTCTTAACAGTCTTTTGTTGTCGTTGTTTTTAAAACAAAGGTACGGACCACGTGCTATATATAAATCGAATGGCTTAAACTAATTTGCTGTGATCCTCTAACACCGAAATTTCCCGTAAACTTAAGTGCCTACACTTAGGACTTCTGACTTTCAGTCATCTTTTTCGTGGTGTCTCACTAACATGTTAGAACATGTTCTATTTGGAGTTTTGGGCCTGTGCACTGTCAACCCCAATTACCAATTTAGTTGAGGCTGGATTCGACTGCTCAGTTCACCTGCCACGTTCTCTCCAAGGAGTGGGGTCTACGTGACCTTCAGTCCTCTACCTCAGAGCCCCGAGTCATTTCTGACCACCCCGTTCCGTGTCCTCACTCTTGTCCCTGAACGGGTCCCTGTGTGGATCTGTGTGTGTGTGGTTTCTCCGCTCCCCCCCGTGTCCCACACCTGCCGTAATGAACTGTTTCTGCACTGATCTTGTCCATGGGTATGGAGTGGAGGGAAGGTCTTGGGAAAGGGGAGAGCCTTGACTTCCATCTAGGTTTCTTTTATCTGGAGAAAAAGAACATTTTTTAACTATGTAATGCTTACCCTGAAAGGCAAGCTAACTTCCCAGGTGACAGTAGCAGGAACAAGTAAGGGTAATGCTTCCATGACAGACACTTGCTTCCCTTGGGACAAGTCCCAGAAGAACTATCTGAAGCACCAAAGCTCCCCAGCCCAGCCTGGTGGCAGAGGAAGGAGGCGGCACCAACTTGCCAAAGGGAATTGGGAGCTACCTTCTCACTCTGGAAGTAATTTAGTGAAGAGCTGACTGACAAGATAAAAACCCTGAAATTCCCAGAAGTTACAGATGCCTTAAAGACTTTCTTTGGAAGATCATTGCTGTACAATTCCTTTTTTGTGTGGCATAAATAATATATTAACCTGTTACAACTGACAACGTTGGTTTCCTGCAGCTAGGGAGTCTTGAGTTGAGACTGCTGGCCTTGATGACTTGCCCTTTTTGGCAGATGTGCGGAGGTGGCTGTTACAACATCCCTGCGTGACCCCAGAGGAGGGGCAGTAGCTGGGCAGAAACTGAGGCACACATGTGGGTTGATACCCTGGCTTCCAACCCATTCGGGGCGGTGCTCAGTGTGGGGTGATGGGATCATAGAGGACCATGGCGCTTATCAGAATTGTTTCTTTGGAATCTGTGTAATGGAATGTATTTTTCAAATACTGATATTTGCATTTTCTGTAACAATTCCTTATAATAAAATGAAGTCAAATTGTGCATTTAAAGTGGAAACTTTAATAAGACATTTGTAGTTACTTCTAATGCAGAAATACCAGTAAGCATTAAAAACAAATTTTAGAAAACTCCTGACATGTGAATAAGTTTCTTGACCGGCTGTCCTCCGGGAAAGTTTGAATTCCAACAACATTTTTCAGGAATGTGCTGTTGACAGCAGTAAAAGTAGCTGTTTTATGTATTTATTTTTAATTTTTAAAAATTTCAGTAGGTTTTTGGGGTTCAGGTGGTATTTGGTTACATGAAGTTCTTTAGTGGTGACTTCTGGGATGTGGGGGCACCCATCAGCCAGCAGTGTACAGTGGACTCTTACCCCTCACCCTCAACCCTTTCCACTGAGCCCCCAAAGTCCACTGTATCATTCTTACACCTTTACGTCCTCATAGCTTAGCTCCCGAAAAGTGCAGTTATTTTAAACATTGTAGCTGCTTGCTTAACTCACTGTGCCTGTGCTCTTGGCCCAGATTTCAGCTCATGGCACCCAGCGTGATCACTGAGGCAGTCTCAGTCACCGTCACCTGACCCTCTGAAGTTCCCAAGAGGATCCACTCATGATGAGCTTTCTGCTGGCCAAGGCGTGAAGGGCGACTGGCACTGTGGGCTTCAGAGAACACTAAGGACGGTTTCAGGGCTTGCAAATTGAAATCTAGTGATCCATAAAGCCCCGTACAGATCGTTACCAATCAAGCAGCTCCCGTGGCCCTCACGCGTTCCTGAGCGAGTACAGTCCCTTTTCCTGTCTTCCATTTTGCTTACCCCCAGGTCAGACTAGCTGTGGTGACAGAGCTCATAAAGCTCATTCTCCAGTGGCTTTTCTCATCGTTCACAGGCACTGTTAAGTGTTTCCACATGACAATCCCAAGTAATCCTCACCGCCATCCTGAAGGTGAACAGTGCTAACCACACTGTCACTGGCTATAAGCGAGGCACAAATAGTAACCAGGAACACAGCAACTTCCACACGTTTACCCAGCCAGAGAAGAGCGCTGGGTTTTAGTTCGGGTTTTTCATTGACTAGCTGAGAGTTCTGGGCAAGTTTCCTAACTTCTTTGCCTGTGTTTCCCTACCTACATAATGGGGGTGGACTGTAGTCCTTAACTTACAGGGTTGCCTGGAGGAAGGTGATCAGTAATGTGCCCTTCTCATCCAAGTACCCCGATTCTGGTGTGTGCATGGCAGGGCTCCTCTGGCAAGGGCTATGGCAGTATCTGCTGCCCCCGGAAGAAATCGGGGGCTCTGGCAAGGGCTACGGCGGTATCTGCTGCCCCAGAAGAAACTGGGGGCTCTGGCAGTAGGAAATGCTCTCAAGGGTGGGGTCCAGCCTAGGGTCGCTGCCCTTCTCTGAGGGGCACCCGCAGACTTCTGAGCAAGCACAGTCGGAACCTCCCCACTGGCGCCGGCTTTCAGAGCACAGCTCTGCCTAGAGCAAAGCAAGTGTGGGGCGGGGCGGGTTCACACTGGCTGAGCTGGGACCAGAAAGCCTCAGACTCTTCACTCTTAGATGTTTACAGAAAACCGTCATCTCCGAATGAAAAGGCAGACCTTGAAACTTCCTTCAAGGTGAGTTCTTTATTTTTGGGTTTTGTTTGTTTGTTTTGGGACAGAGTCTCACTCTTGTCACCCAGGCTGGAGTGCAGTGGTGTGATCTCCGCCCACTGCAGCCTCCGCCTCCCCAGTAGCTAGGACCGCAGGCGCACACCACCACACCCAACTAATTTTTGTATTTTAGTAGAGATGGGGTTTCACCATGTTGGCCAGGCTGGCCTCCATCGAACTTCTGGCCTCAAGAAATCCACCCACCTTGGGCTCCCAAAGTGCTGGGATTATAAGTGCCCGGCCTCCTTCACAATGTTGGAGTGGAGTGCAGCAGCAAAGGCTTTGCCTTAACACCATGCTCACTGGTGTGGCAGAGATCAGACTCGCATCACAAAGCCCAGCTCTGTCACACGACGTTGATGTAACTATTAGAAGAGGTGGGAGATATTCATGCCCCTTTTCTGGGCCATAAAATGGGAACTTCTCGAGGCAGGCATAGAGATTAAATGAGAACAAGGCCTGGCCCAGCAGAGTTGCGCAATACGGATGAGTTTTCTCCTTTCCTTCCCTTCTGCCAGCAAGTCTGACTGCATGCTCAGCCTGAGCTGAGCTTATCTGTGGCTTCCATCAAGGCCTTGCCCTTCCTCCCCCATGGTTTTGCCCAGGGCCACCTGTACTTGAGAGGGAAAGGCGAGGCATTTCTCCAGCAATTACAGCTTCTCATGGCTGAGCCCTTCAGGCCATTAAAATGACAACCTATTCTTGCTGAACCTAATTCTTTGCTGAATCCTTTGCCCTGACATGAGAGATGTGTTACCAGGTTAAGTAGGAAGGTAATTACTATAAGGTAAGTATCAAAAAGGAAATGAATTCTCACTGAGCAAGGAACTCAGCAGGCTCCTGAAGCCAGCCAAGTCTGTGCCGGAGCCTGTGCGCAGGAGACTTGCATCAGTCAGAGATCACGTACCCTCTAGGCACGGCCATAGCCCGCAGCTGGCTGGAATGACGAATGCTCCTTTTTGTTTGTTTGTTTTTTGAAGGATGGAGGACATCTTGGGGCCTGGTCCTGACACTCTGCCTGCATTCCTGCCACAAGGACGGCCTCTGGCCGCTCTGTGGGGTTTCTTCCACCATACTACAAGCCCGCTGAGGTCAGAAGCCTTGCTGCCCCAACCCCCCAGCCCTAACATGATGCCTGGCACATAGTCGGTGCTTGGTAAGTTATTTGCTGAATGACTGAGGAGGACTAAATCAGGGACAGTAACTTTTTCAGTTCGCCTGGAGTTGGGGGCTGTTTCTGGGTAACAGAGAAGTCTCAGCACTGAGCTCAGGGACTGCCTAGAACTCAGAAGAAAATCCTAATTTCAGCTCTTCTCCTTTCTGTCTGCTCCTGGTCCTGCCCCAGGGAGGGCCAAACATAGAGAAATATGGAGGAGTGAAAATGACACCGATCAGGCATCCAGAGCTTTGCGTTCCAGGCTCAGCTCCACGCTCAGTGACTTCAGTTCTATGTGCCTTTGTTGCCTTATCTCCAAAAAGCGCGGTGGCTCACGCCTGTCATCCCAGCACTTTGGGAGGCCAAGGTGGGCAGATGGCTTGAGCCCGGGAGTTCGAGACCAGCCTGGGCAACATGGTGAAACCCCGTCTCTACAAAAATAAAAAACTAGCCAGGCGCGCTGGTACATGCCCACAGTCCCAGCTACTCGGGAGGCCAAAGTGGGAGAATCTTTCTGAGCCCGGGAGTTCAAGGCTGCAGTGAGCTATGATCACGCCACTGCACTCCAGCCTGCGCAAGAGTAAGACTCTGTCTCAAAAAAAAAAAAAAAGAACTCTGCACGCACTTCCCACATGTTAGGCGTGGTGGATATAGGGGCACAGCGCTGCGTAAAGTGGATTACAGGGGTATGGCGCTGAGTCATGTGGATATAGGGGTACGGCGCTGAGTCATGTGGATATAGGCGTATGGTGCTGAGCAAAGTGGATTATAGGGGTCTGACGCTGAGTCATGTGGATATAGGGGTATGGAGCTGAGTCATGTGGATATAGGGGTACGGAGCTGAGTCATGTGGATATAGGCGTATGGTGCTGAGCAAAGTGGATATAGGGGTACAGAGCCGAGTCATGTGGATATAGGGGTATGGCGCTGAGTAAAGTGGATTATAGGGGTCTGACGCTGAGTCATGTGGATATAGGGGTACGGAGCTGAGTCACACTGGGGCTCTGTCCTCAGAGTGGTCCAGTGCAAGAGGCTGATAGGAAGTTCATGGTAAGAGCCCACTGTGATATGAGCACAGTGCCATGGGAACCAAGGAAAGTGCCTCTGTATCTCACTGCTGGCCCAACAGTTACTGAAGGCTTCCAAGAAGGGCCTGACTGAGCTGAATACTGAAGCAATACGGGGTGGATTAAGTCAACAGAGGAGAAAGTCATTCCAGGCGAAAGAAACAGCCTGTGTGAAAGCACTGCAGACATACCGCAGTGAGAGGGAGGCTGGAAAGGAGGTGCACATGGGAGGAGATGGCAAAGGCACAGGTCTAAAAGGAGAGAGGCCACAGAAGGGCCTCGTGTGGCACGAAGCAGAGGAGCTGGCACTCAGTCCTTATAGATAAGGAGAGCCCCTGAGGAGGCTTAAATGGGACATGCCTTCATCATGATTAAGAAAGACAGCTCGGCCAGGCGCAGTGGCTCACGCGTGTAATCCCGGCACTTTGGGAGGACGCGGTGGGCGGATCACGAGGTCAGGAGTTCAAGACCAGCCTGACCAACATAGTGAAACCCCATCTCTACTAAAAATACAAAAATTAGCTGGGTGTGGTGGCACATGCTTGTAATCCCAGCTACTTGGGAGGCTGAGGCAGAAGAATTGCTTGAACCCGGGAGGCGGAGGTTGCAGTGAGCTGAGATCTTGCCACTGCACTCCACCCTGGGCAAAAGAGCAATACTCTATCTCAAAAAAAAAAAAGAGAAAGAAAGAAAGATGGCTCCCAGCAGTGCGGAGGAGGAATTGGAGGGAGGGAGTACAGTTAGGCTCCTTCAGTAATCCAGGTGAGAAATGACAGCCTAGGCCAGAGAAGGAGTACTGGGGACAGGTAAGAGGGAAGGGAAAGGAGAGAATCAGGGAGGCAGAGCTCCCGGGACCTGCAGGTGGGTTAGGAGGAGGGAAGGAGGTCAGAGTGTGGATGGCTGCTCGGATTCTGACTCCGCGTGCAGCTGGTGGGCCGTTCACTTGGAGAACTAGAAGCAGCATGGAAAGGGAAGATGAAACGCTGTGGAACGCTGCCTGGAGTAGATGTGCAGGTTTCATGGTCTAAGTAACTGCCAGATTTGGAGTGGGAGGAGCTAATGGGAAGGGGTTTGTGGAAGCAAAACGGGGTTCTCAAGGCAATGAGGAAGGAATGGGCAGAGGGAGAAAGAGAAGCAGGACAAAGCCCAGTGAGGGTTTCCTGGAGGATCCCACAGTCCAGTGTCCAGTGTGATGAAGCTCAGGTAAGAACTGGCTGTGACCATGGAATGTGCCAGTGCAGAATTTGTCCTGGTTGTTGGAGCACACGGGGCTGAAAAGCAAAGCTAGTAAGTATAAGCCACAGCTGTGGCGCTGAGGGGCTACAGGAGAGAAGTGAGCCGTTGAATGCACGCCTGGGGCAAGATCCAGGAGGTGGGGAGAGGTTAAGGGTACAAGAGGGGCAGGTGCGTGGCCGGGCGCGGTGGCTCAAGCCTGTAATCCTAGCACTTTGGGAGGCCGAGACGGGCAGATCACGAGGTCAGGAGATCGAGACCATCCTGGCTAACACGGTGAAACCCCGTCTCTACTAAAAATACAAAAAATTAGCCGGGCATGGTGGCGGGCGCCCGTAGTCCCAGCTACACGGGAGGCTGAGGCAGGAGAATGGCGTAAACCCGGGAGGCGGAGCTTGCAGTGAGCTGAGATCCTGCCACTGCACTCCAGCCCGGGCGACAGAGCGAGACTCCGTCTCAAAAAAAAAAAAAAAGGAGGGGCAGGTGAGAAAGATGGCGGGGGGCAGGCCAAAGGAGCCATGAGCCGCAGCCCAAGTGTAAGGAACAGCTGTGGCCATAGGGGCAGTGAGCACGGGTTCGCCAGTGGAGCGGGGGCAGCCTCCACTTTCTAGTCTGTGAATCTGGAAGGCGATTTAGTGAAATGAATGATGGAGAAAAGGAGACAGTGACAGAGAGAGCGGGAGCTAGAGGATGCTGAGGGGGAGACTGAGTGGGAAAGGGAGCGGGGGGGAGGCTCTGATGGGGTGATGCACAGAGGCCACGGTGCTGTCTGGGGTAGTGCTGGTCCCACTTCTGTCTGAAGGAGGAACACTCCTTGCCCCCATCTACCTTAACAAATAGTCAAGAGGTAACAGGTACGACATTTGCCAAGTGTAGGGCTTACAGATGACCCTGGAAATACAAACCACTGGACAAGCAGCAAGCCCAGCCCCCTGAAGTTTGCAGCCCCGCCCAAACTTTAATGTCATGCTAACCAGTTACCTTGTAAGAGCTGGGAAACCACCTTTTGCTCAAAATGCAGACTTCTGCCTTTGAAAACACACCACACCTGATTTTAAGTGCTTAAAGGAGAGAAAATGTTGTTGCTTTAAATTGTTGCTTTGTTCAGAGACATCTGGATTTGCCGTATCCATACAAGCAAAAGCTTTTCCAAGTCCAGAATCAACCCATGCTAATCTGTTATTGCCTCTTACTGTGTTGGCCCAGCTGTAACCAACCCAGCAGGCTTTTGGTTGTAAAGTCAAGTGGAAATGGAGTTGGTCATATTTGCGCCCATTGGTATCTGAGGGCTCTGAGGAAGATGGCCAGTAGGTCAAGGGGAATAGTGGTGAAACGCTGACCAGTACTGGGCAGGTGGCCGGCTGTCCCTCAGGCACCACAACGCTGAGCCACAGTGAGGGGCATGAGCCACGTTTGCAGAATATAGCCAGTGTCCTTCCAGAACCTCCTGATTTGCTCCAGGGGGCATCCCAGGGCACACAAGTGTCAAGGGCCTACTCAGGTTCTCGGCAGAGCTCTCTGTGTGTTATCAACAGAAAAGGCTACAGCTAGAGTGGGAAGGAGCATGTGATGGCTAGAGGTGGGCAGCCTGTGTACTCCGCCAAGTTTGGGTGGTCCAGGTCCCCACGATTTCTGTGTGGTGGGCTGTCCGGCATCTGGTCACTAGGGGGGCCGGTGGTTCTCACACACACGCAGCGGGGCTCCTTAGCACCTGGCTGATACAGCTTCCTGGGGACACCAATCCAGTCTCTGCTCACGCCTCCACTAAGGACAGACAGAAAGAGGACTTCTTCAGTGTGAGAACTCGCGAGCCTCTGGGAAGGGGGGAGCAGGAAGCAGTGGGCCTCTGGGAAGGGGAGAGCAGGAAGCAGTGGGCCTCTGGGAAGGGGAGGGCAGGAACCAGTGGGCCTCTGGGAAGGGGAGGGCAGGAACCAGTGGGCCTCTGGGAAGGGGAGGCAGGAACCTTCAGTGGGCCTCTGGGAGGGAGGGCAGGAAGCAGTGGGCGTCTGGGAAGGGGGGCAGGAAGCAGTGGGCCTCTGGGAAGGGGAGGGCGGAAGCAATGGTGGGCCTCTGGGAGAGGAGGCAGGAAGCAGTGGGCCTCTGGGGAAGGGAGGGCAGGAAGCAGTGGGCCTCTGGGAAGGGAGGCGAGGAAGCAGTGGGCAGGCCATGGGAAAAGCAAGCCGGGTGTTTCCCAAGGCAGCAGGCTACAGCGTTCAGCCCCTGAGCCTTCATGCTCTCCCCTGACTTCCTCCAGCTTACCCTGCAGGGCCACCACCACCCAGTGGGCCTCTGGGAAGGGGAGGGCAGGAAGCAGTGGGCCAGGCCATAGGAAAAGCAGAAGCCCACCGGAGTGTTTCCCAAGGCAGCAGGCTACAGCGTTCAGCCCCTGAGCCTTCATGCTCTCCCCTGACTTCCTCCAGCTTACCCTGCAGGGCCACCACCACCTTCCCCAGGCCAAGGGCACAGTCCAAGGTTCCTTTCACTGTGCTCCCCAGCCCCTGCCCTGCCCCTTCTTAGGAGGCAGCACCATGGTCCTGCACTGGTGGCAACAGCTGTGAAAGGGTTTCCCCTGCTGGCCTGTGAGTTTCTCAGAAGCAGTGTCTGGGTGTGACCGTCCTCTTCCTTCCCCCACTACAACCCAGCGCGGGCCACGGTCTTCACCTTCTTCTCTGGGGCACTTGGGTGGGGGTGGGCAATTGGCCACTGGCCCTTGGTCACCTGGGTTGGCCTTCTCTGGGAAGCCCTTGGCATAGGGTGTAGCTGCAAGCTGTCCTGTCCCCCACAGGTCCAGTCCTTGATGGCACCAGGCTTCAGACATAGAGGATTCAGCTCTGGCCCAACATAACCTGAGCAACCTCCTATCTTGGGCAGAGGGACCTAGCCCACCTCAGGGTACCGGGTTCAGTCTCTGATGGACTCACAGGCCTTGCAAAAAAGAAACTGAGGTTCTTGGAACTGATGCCTCAGACAGTTTCCGGTGCCTCCTGTCAGAGAAACTTTCACCCAGTGAGAAAACATCCTACTTCTAGCTTACCACAATAAGGCTGTCACCCAAATGCCTCCGTCTTCCACCCAGCCTCCATCCCATCACGGGGGATCCTTACTCCACACCTCGTCCCTGCCTTCAGTGCTTGTTCCTCTCAGTCTAATGGGAGATGCACACAGGTGAACAGAAAACAACAAACTGAGCTGAGGCACAGGGATAGGGCCCCTCAGTTCACTAGGGTGCCCCGGAAGGGTTTTGTGGGGAAGGCAGATCCTGAATTACTCAGTCATGAAAGCAAGAAGAGGTTCAGCAGACAGAGGGGAGGGCTGTGGGGAGGGAAAAAGGAGGTGGGTCCCAAGGGAGCAAAGTGAAGCATCTGAACGCACGCGGGCCTCCTGGAGTCTCCTCCGGGGGACCAGGGCCCTCCGAGGCCACCTGCGTTCAGACCTGGGTCACAGGAAGGCCACGCCTGTCTTAGCTTCTCTCCATAAAGTGAGCAGGCCAGGTTCTCACAGTCCCTCCTTCTTGAGATGACGACACTGGAGAAGCTGTCTCTTCAAAGCTAGTGGCCAGGAAAGAAGGAGCTTTCCTTCCTGCTACCTTTGCCCTTGCTCCCCTCATTTAAGGCTGAGAACTCCGAATTTGCAGTCGTTTTTTTGTTTGTTATTGTTTTTTTGTTATGTTGCCCAGGCTGGACTCCAACTCCTGAGCTCAAGAGACCTGCCTGCCTCAGTCTCCCAAGTAGCCAGGACCACAGGTGTGCTACCACGCCCGGCTCACCTTGTTTTTAAGACAGCAGTTGAAGCCATCACTGCATGTACCCTCCCCACCTCCTCGTCCCTCTCTCCTATAGACAGGCATGATTTGTGCTGTCAAACAGGAAACCAAAGCCAGTGGATGGCTGAACAGGCCAAAGAAAGCAAGAAATCCTGCTTGTGCCTTCTCATTCCCGGGCCGAGGTTGTGTCAGCAGGATCTTTGGAGAATTTGGGAAAAATAAAAAGATGCCCAGGCTTCAAGTCCAAGTCTCAACCCATTCAGTTGAGTGGAGTGAGGTCTGACCATCCATCATTTTGGCAGTCCCCCAGAAGATCTAATATGCAGCCAAGGTTGAGAATTGGTCTCAGTATTTTGAAAAAACAGGGGTTAACAATCAATTCCCTGAATTCACTGAATGCCGCAGGCAGGATGGCCTAGGAGTTGGATTTGAGACAGGCCGAAAGGAGCAGAAGGGGAGCCTGCTTACCTCTTCTGGGAGCACCAGAGCCGACTGCCCCTGGCTGAGCTCCACTCCGCGTTGCACGGCGGGAACGTCTGCTTCTCTTGCAGTTCTAGTTTGTTTGCCTCCAAGCCTATGGTGATCATGGCTTCTACCTGGGTCAGTGCCGGGGTAGGCAGCCCATCCTCTCCGTAGAAGCGTCCTATCACCCTTCCTGTGATGACAGGAAGGCAGATATGAGTGAGAGAGAGGGCGAGAGTGAATAGATACTTCACTGCTGAGGCAGGGGTGGGAAGGCACAAGTTCCCAGGGTTTCTGACTTCAGTCCTGCTGGTGTGCGTTTATTAAGAACTTCTAATGCAGGGACTGACTCCTGGTGCCTTGCATACCAACCTCTCAACATCCTAGAAAACCCCACAGAACTGCATGCCTGTTCTAGCTGTAGAGCCCTTTATTACAGAAACTATCAAATCTTTCTCACTTCCAGACAATGCTTCCCTGAGGGCAGAACCGTGCGTGATTCATTTCTCGATGCTTCAGTGTGCTTAGAGCACACAGTGGGTATTCAACTAATGTTTGATGAATGAATGGCTTATTGGCTAACATGTTTATTATAATAGAGAGGGGGTCTCACTCTGTTGACCAGGCTAGTCTTGAACTCCTGGGCTCAAGTAATCCTCCCACCTCAGCCTCTCAAAGTGCTGGGATTACAGGCATGAGCCACCATGCCCAGGCAGGCTAATATTTTTGCAGCTCCATTTTCTCCAACATCAAATTATTTTGCTTTATACAGATCATTTATTGAACTTAATGTCTGACACTATCCTAGCACTTTATTTTATATGTGTGTATATATGTGTGTATTTACTGATGTATATATGTGTGTATATATATATGTATGTGTGTGTGTGTGTGTGTGTGTGTATATATGTATTTTTTTTTTGAGACGGAGTTTCGTTCTTGTTGCCCAGGCTGGAATGCAATGGCACGCGCTCGGCTCACCACAACCTCCGCCTCCCGGGTTCAAGCGATTCTCCTGCCTCAGCCTCCCGAGTAGCTGGGATTACAGGCATGTGCCACCACGCCCAGCTACTTTTTTGTATTTTTAGTAGAGACGGGTTTCTCCATGTTGGCCAGGCTGGTCTCGAACTCCCGACCTCAGGTGATCCACCTGCCTAGGCCTCCCAAAGTGCTGGCATTACAGGCATGAACCACTGCTCCTGGCCACCAATATTTTTTTACTCCTCCCAACAAATCTATGAGAGAAATAATTGTTCCCTTATTTGTAGGAGAGACTGGCAAGCTAAATAAGTTGGGGTGGTCTACAAAGCTAGTGAATTAATCTGGCTCTAAGCCCATGCTCTCCCCTCCATTGCTCTCTTTTGGCTGTGTCCCTCAGGGGACGTAAGTGAGTAAAAACTGGTTTTCCTTTAAAATGCCTATCTGGATGTGTCCTTATAGATGAGTCTTGCTCTATTGCTCACGCTGGAGTGGAGTGGCTATTCACAGGCATGAACATAGCTCTTTATGCCTTGAACTTCTGGGCTCAAGCAATCCTTCCACCTCAGCTTCTTGAGTAGATGGGGGTGCAGGTGTGAGCCACACTGTGCCCGGCTTTAAAGTGCCTGTCAGAATTTGTAAAAGTCTAAGCTATGGCAGCAGCCGGCAAGTGGTCCCCCAGCCTACAGGCCAGAAGGAAAAACAGGTCAGTTCTCTCAGTGCAGGGTCCTAACGTAGCCCAGTCCTGAGGTACAAATGGCCTTCAGAGGCAGCACCTGCCACAAGGCGAAAGAAGCAGAAAGGAAGCACTTGAGGGAGGTGCGACCGAGGAGGGAGCAACCCCTAAGAACTAGCTTTACGTTCGATTCTAGTGGCGCATATGTTCAGCGCATCTGAGACTCAGCTCATCTCTCAAGTCCAACGCCCTCCCTGACTTTCTCAAATCCATGTTGCCTCTAGCCTGTGACCCAGACTAGGAGCCTGGACGAGGAGCCTGACTCCTCCTCCTCGACATCCACATCATGCTCCCTTCCTTGCTGTCTGATCCATCAGAAAACCTTGTCAGTCCTACCTCTGAACAGATCCTGATTCTGTTGACTCCTTTCCATTCCCATTGCCATCACCCTCCTCCGAAGCACGGACCGTAGCACTGGCCTCCTGACTGCTCTCTGCGCCTCAGCTCATGCCCTCCTAGAGCCCTCTGTCCGTAAAACAACTGGGGGATCTTTTCAAAACACGAATCATACCGTGGCACTCCGACGCCTGAGGAAACCCTTCAATGGCTTCCTAAAGCAGACAGACAAAAATGCAAATTTCTTATCAAGGCCTCTAAGGCCCTGTAACCATTTAACTGATTTGCTTCTTCAGCCTCTTACAAGCTACGTCCCCGCTCGTTCACTGGGGGCTCCAGCATACGGGCTTCCTTTCTATGTCTTGGCCGTGCTTCCCCACTCCCCACCTTCAGCACTGCTCTTCCCTGACCCGGGACACTCTCCTCAGGTCTCGGTGTGGCTGCCTCCCACTCACCTGCCCAGTCTCAGCTTAACGGTCCTTTTCTCCAAGAATCCGGCCCTAAGCACCTGCTCTAAAGGAGCCAGAATTCCCGAACATGCGTCGCATCAGTCTGGCGCATGGTCCTATCTGGAGTTGTTCAATCTGTTTACTTGCTTATGATACCTCTCTCTACTAGTGAGGCCCAGTGCTCAGAACAGCTAGCGCCAGGCGCAGTGGCTCACGTCTGGAATCCCAGCACTTTGGGAAGCTGAGCCGGGCAGATCACTTGAGGTCAGGAGTTCGAGGCCAGCCTGGCCAACATGGTGAAACCCCGTCTCTACGAAAAATAACAAAAATTTGCCAGGCGTGGTGGCGCATACCTATAATCCCAGCTACCCGGGAGGCTGAGGCAGGAGAATTGCTTGAACCCAGGAGTGGGAGGTTGCAGTGAGCCAAGATTGCACCACTGCACTCCAGTCTGGATGACAGAACAAAACTCAGTCTCAAAAAATATACAAATAAATAAATAAAACAGCTTAGCATAGAGCATTCCTTTTAAATACTTATTAGATGAATGAAGAAAGGAATCAGGGCCTGAATCACAGGCCTGCAGTCTATGAGTTGGCCTGGCACAGAACTTCCCACTATGGGGTTTGGGGCGCCTGTGTTATATGGTAACAAGCCTGTCTTGGTTGAGTTTCTGACATGAGACCCAAAGAGAGGACAGTAGTAGCAGAGGCAACACAGGAGGAGTTCTAGAAGCTGTGTCATGAGAATGGTGATCACCAGTGGCTGCGTCTCCAAGCCAATCCTATATCCACAGCATAACCAAGGCCATCTTGTTTACGCTTGAGGCCTGGCCATGTTGGCTGCCAAGATGGCTTCCTGGCTGTCCTCACTTCAGTATATACCCTTACAATAAACCTTCATCCACTGATGTATCCTCAGGGTTACTGGTAACCTGAAAGAGCCTAACATGGCCCCTATCCTACAGAATGAGCTAACAGGGGCAGGAATTGGACTCAATTCATCCCTGGTCCCCCTGAGATCTAAACCTTAACTTATGAATAGTAGGTATTCAATAAGATCCTGTTTTCAACTAAAATCCTTCTGAGGCATTTCCCACCACATGCCCCACCCCATCCTCAATACATTTTACATCATTCAGACAAGAACAGTTCACCTGCCACACCAAACACATCTGGAACACTTCTAGTGTGCTCCCAAATCTTAGTATGAAGGATTTGGCCTGGCATTCTTTGCCCATTTACAGGACTCTGGTTTTTGTTTTGTTTTGTTTTGTTTTGTTTTGTTTTGTTTGAGACAAGGTCTCACTCCGTCACCCAGGGTGGAATGCAATGACGTGATCTCGGCTTATTGCAACCTCTGCCTTCCAGGTTCAAGTGATTCTCATGCTTCAGCCTCCAGAGTAGCTGGGATTACAGGCGTGTGCCACCACACCCTGCTAATTTTTTGTATTTTTAGTAGAGACAGGGTTTTGCCATGTTGGTCAGGCTGGTCTTGAACTCCTGACCTCAACTGATCCAACCACCTCGGCCTCCCAAAGTGCTGGGATTACAGGCATGAGCTACCAGTCTGGACTCCATTCTTATTCTTTTTCTTCTTTTTTTTTTTTTTGAGACGGAGTCTCATTCAGCCACCCAGGCTGGAGTGCAGTGGTGCAATCTTGGCTCACTGCAACCTCCGTCTTCCGGGTTCAAGCAATTCTCCCATCTCAGCCTCCTGAGTAGCTGGGGTTACAGGCACCTGCCACCACGCCTGGCTAATTTTTGTATTTTAGTAGAGATGGGGTTTCACCATGTTGGCCAAGCTGGTCTTGAACTCCTGACCTCAGGTGATCTGCCCGCCTCGGACTCCCAAAGTGTTAGGATTACAGGCGTGAGCCACTGCTTCTGGCTCTCATTCTTTTCTATTGGGTTTTTTTTTTCTTTATTAACCCAGTAATGTTTCAACCTTGGTTTGGCAACTTCATTGGGAAAGGGAAGAAGCCAGCCCTCTGAAGCGCAGGTGAGTAGAGGTCAGTGCTTTCAATGGTAGACAGGGTTGTGGTCTCAAGACTGATCTTGGGCAGACTGGGAAAATGAAGGACGGCGTGCTGCAGAGGCCCACAATGGACAGACACAAACTTTAGATATTGTGAAAAAGCCTTGACTGATTGGATATGGCGGGAGCCGAGGTGTTAATAAAAATGCCAGGGTTCTCAGAAAAGGTAACTCAAGCAGTCATGACAGAAGCAGAAATTCAGAGGCATTAAGGAAAGAATTCTTCCAAGTTAGGCCTGTTTTGATGGTAGAGTGACACTGGTGATCCTCAGAATTCTTCCAAGTTAGGCCTGTTTCGATGGTAGAGTGACACTGGTGATCCTCAGAATTCTTTCAAGTTAGGCCTGTTTCGATGGTAGAGTGACACTGGTGATCCTCAGGAAGCCAGTCGTGTCCAAGTAGGACTCGTGAGAGGCGGGGGCTGCAGACAGATGGGAGAAAGGGCTGCAACCATCCCGCATGTCCGTACTTGTGAAGCAATCTAGTGTTCAGTGTCTTTCATTGAGGCTGGAGTGCAGTGGTGCAATCTCGGCTCCCTGCAACCTCCGCCTCCTGGGTTCAAGTGATTCTCCTGCCTCAGCCTCCTGAGTAGCTGGGACTACAGGCGTGTGGCACCACACCCGGGTAATTTTTGTATTTTTTAGTAGAGACAGGGTTTCACCATGTTGGCCAGGCTGGTCTTGAACTCCTGACCTCAAGTGATCCACCCGCCTCGGCCTCCCAAAGTGCTGGGATTACAGGTGTGAGCCATTGCACCTGGCCTAGTGTTCAGAGACTTTAACACTGCTTCACAACACAGTTTGGTGTCTTTTCATTTGAGAAGCAAGTCCCTCACGTAGCACCAGTAAGTAGCAAGTGCAGTGCCCTACACCGTGGTTTGATTGGCATCACTACCACCTGGGAGACGGCTCACTCGGGAAGTCTGTCTCCTCCTAGAGGACCACATCAAAGGGGATTTGTGGAAACATAAATTCAGGCTTCAAGCCTTTCTGGCTGTGTGCTGAAGCCAGATGCATAGAGCACAGTGAGACGGGGAAGCTGCCTTCTGGAGCTGGTTGTTCAAGGATGGTGCAAGCAATCACAGGCTGTGGTGAAACTGAGGTCAAAGCAAACAGCTTAGTAATCCTCTCCCAAGACTAAGAGGGGCGGAAGCAGGTGCCCATCCATCTCCTTCTGGGCGTCTCATCCCTATTCTAACAACCAGAATTTGAAGTAAAACAAATCCATGCCTGTTTTTCAGATTTCAACCTAGAGCCCAGTCCCTAAAAAATCTCAGCCCCCTAAAAACATTGCAGACAATCAAATGAAACGTACGACCTGTGGACTACTCACCAACACATACGTAATTCTTCTCATAGAATGAAAGCCAATGTTGAAGTGTCAGCATCTCAGAAGATGACAAATCAGATACATCATCCACAAGGCCTGCTTCAGAATAGTCCCCGGTCACAAATGCTCTGGATGCATCTCGGCCTGAAAGAGAGAACTTTCCATCAGATCCAGTTGTAAATGACTGACACTGTCCCCACTCAAGAATCTATTTTCTTTCTTTTCTTTTCTTTGTGTGTGTGTGTGTGGTTTTTTTTTTTTTTTGAGACAGAGTCTTGCTCTGTTGCTCAGGCGTGCAGTGGCATGATCTCAGCCCACTGCAACCTCCACCTTCTATGAAAGAATCACTTTCAAGTGATTCTCCTGCCTCAGCCTCCAGAGTAGCTGGGATTACAGGCGCCCACTACTATGCCCAGCTACTTTTTATATGTTTTTAGTAGAGATGGGGTTTCACCATGGTGGCCAGGCTGGTTCTGACCTCAGGTGATCCGCCCACCTCGGCCTCCCAAAGTGCTGGGACTACAGGTGTGAGCCACCGCGCCCGGCAAGAATCTGTTTTCTGAGAAACGTCTCTTGACAAGCCCCACTCCTCATCCGCAGGGAAATGGGGTCCCCACCACCTCCTCTGTGACAGATACTCCTACACCTTGGACACACAGCTCTTTGGCATTGATCACATTCTTTCATTTACCTTCGGCAATATTTAACATAGCTGACTGCTTCCCTTGGCCTGGTTTTCCTCCTACTTCTCCAGTTCCTCATTGTCTACCGGCCTTAGGGGTCAATTACCATCCACACCATCGCACTTGACAATCTTATCCACACCTGTGGTTTCAAAGCCCGTGTACAGGCAAAGATAGCCACATCTGTATCTTCAGCTCAGATGTCTCCCAAGGCTCACACCTGTATATCCAACACCACTTAGATGTCTCACAGACATCACAAAATCAAAATGTTCACACTGGCTGGGCATGGTGGCTCATGCTCATAATCCCAGCTCCTCAAGAAGCCAAATAAGGAGGACTGATTGAGCCCAGGGGTTTGAGCTATGACCACACCACTGCACTCCAGCCTGGGTGACAGGGTGAGACCCTATCTCTCTTAAAAAAAAAAAAAAAAAAAAAAAAGTCCACATTGAACTCATGATTATCGGCACCCTCACAGCCAGGAAACCTGTATCTACTCCAGTACTGCCTCAGTAAATGCCAAACAGTTGCTCAACCCAGGAATGCAGTTCTTTTTGTGTGTGCATGAGACAGAATTTCACTCTTGTCGCCCAGGCTGGAATGCAAAGGCACAATTTTGGCTCACTGCAACCTCCGCCTCATGGGTTCAAGCGATTTGCCTGCCTCAGCCTCCCGAGTAGCTAGGACTACAGGCACACGCCAACATGCCTGGCTATTCTCTGTATCTTTAGTAGAGACGGGGTTTCATCATGTTGGTCAGGCTGGTGTGGAACTCCTGACCTCAGGTGACCTGCCTGCCTTGGCCTCCCAAAGTGCTGGGATTACAGGTGTTAGCCACCGCACCGAGCCTGGGGAATGCATTTTTTTTTTTTTTTTTTTTTGAGACTGAGTCTCGTTCTGTCGCCCAGGCTGGACTGCAATGGCGCAATCGCAGCTCAGTGCAACCTTCACCTCCCGGGTTCAAGCCAGTCTCCTGCCTCAGCCTCCCGAGTAGCTGGGACTACACGTGCCCGCCACCACGAACAGCTAATTTTTGTATTTTTAGCAGAGAGGGGGGTTTCGCCACATTGGCCAGGCTGGTCTTGAACTCCTGACCTGAGGTAATGTTCCCACCTTGCCCTCCCAAAGTGTTGGCATTAGAGGCATGAGCCACCGTGCCCAGCCTGCAGTTCCTAACACTCCCTTCATGTCACATCCAGTCTCCAAGTCCTGTTATTTTCTTCCTAAGTAGTGTTCTTGTGTCAGTCTACCTGTCTCCACCCACATCTAAGCAAGCCCAGGCTGCTATCCTCTCTCACCTGAACTACTACAGTAAACCCTGAGGGAGACCTCCCCACATTCATTCTTGCCCCACTAATCTGCTCTTCATACCACACTCAAATGATATTTTAAACATAAACTGATCATGTCATTCTCCTGCCAAAGAATCCTCAGAGGCTTCCCTCTGCTCTACGAGAATGTCCAAATTCCTGCACCAGCTGCCACCAACACTGCCTTGCCATGTTCCTTTTTTTTTTTTTTTTGGAGACAGAGTTTTGCTCTTGTTACCCAGAATGGAGTGCAATGGTACAATCTCAGCTCACTGCAACCTCTGCCTCCCGGGTTCAAGTGATTCTCCTGCCTCAGTCTCCTGAGTAGCTGGGATTACAGGCATGTGCCACCATGCCCAGCTAATTTTTTTTTTGAGACAGAGTCTCGCTCTGTCACCCAGGCTGGAGTGCAGAAATGCTCACTGCAACATCTGCCTCCGTGGTTCAAGCGAGTCTCCTGCCTCTGCCTCCCAAGGAGCTGAGACTACATGCACACACCACTGTGCCCAGCTCACACAAACATTTGTACATGAATGTTCATAGCAGCATTATTTATAACAGGCAAAAAGGTAGAAAGAAACCAAAAATCCATCAACTGATAAAATGTGGTATATCCGTATTATTAGAATTATAATATCTATAGATTATTATTCAGTCATAAAGGAATAAAGTACTGCTACATGCTGATATACCATGGATGAACCCTGAAAACATTATGCTAAGTGAAAGAAACCAGACACAAAAGGCCACATGTATGACTCCATGAAATGCCCAGAATAGGCCAATCGACAGAAAAAAAAGTAGATAGTGGTTGGCAAAGGAAAGAATGAGGAGTGACTGCTAATAGATAAGAAGTTTCTTTCTGGGGTGATGAAAATGTTCTAGAATTAGTGGTGACATTTTTACAAGTTTCTGGTTATATTAAAAAAAAAAAAAAACACTGGGCTGGGCGCGGTGGCTCACGCCTATAATCCCAGCACTTTGGGAGGCCGAGGCGGGTGGATCACGAGGTCAGGAGATCCACACCAACCCAGCTAACACGGTGAAACCCCGTCTCTACTAAAAACACAAAAAATTAGCTGGGCGTGGTGGCAGGCACCTGTAGTACCAGTTACTCGGGAGGCTGAGGCAGGAGAATGGCATGAACCTGGGAGGCGGAGCTTGCAGTGAGCTGAGATTGCACCCCTGCACTCCAGCCTGGGCAACAGAGTGAGACTCCGTCTCAAAACAAACAGCACTGAATTTTGGCTAACACCTGTAATCCCAGCACTGTGGGAGACTGAGGCAGGTGGATCACTTGAGGCCAGGATTTCCAGTCCAGCGTGGCCAACATGGCGAAACCCCATCTCTACTAAAAATACAAAAATCAGCCAGACGTGGTGGCGCACACCTGTAATCCCAGCTCCTCGGGAGGGTGGGGCACAAGAACATTGAATTCAGGAGGTGGAGGTTGCAGTGAGCCAAGATGGCACCACCGCACTTCAACCTGGGCTACAGAACCAGGTTGTCTCAAACAAACAAAAAGGCTGGGTGCAGTGGCTTACACCTGTAATCGCAGCACTTTCGGAGGCTGAGACGGGTGGAGCACTTGAGCTCCGGAGTTGAAGACCAGCCTGGCCAACATGGTGACAACTTATCTCTACAAAAAAATACAAAAATTAGCTGGGCATGGTGGTGCACACCTATGGTCCCAGCTACCTGGCAGGCTGAAGTGGGAGGATCGCTTGAGCCTGGGAGGCGGAGGTTGCAGTGAGCCGAGATCACGCCACTGCACACAAGAGCGAGACTCCATCTCAAAAAAAAAAAAGAAAAAGCACTCCAGAAATTGAAGGTTTTATGCCCACACTTGTGCAAACATCCAACGACATCTCCAACAGCACGGGATAAGGCAGCGCAACGAAAACTGCCTTCACTTTGATTCCAGTCCCACCTCTGCTTCTAACTCACCGTGTAGCCCTGAGTAAGTCCCTTCCCCTGCTGGACTGTCTCTGGGGCTTTGCGAGACCAACTGGACTTCATTCCTTTTCTGTCAACCCTTGTATTTCTGAAGTGCTCCCTAGACAGAGGGAAGGGGCTTGTATTTTAAGTGCTAGAGGGAGCTTCCCAACTCTCCTAAGATAATGACAAGTGGAAAATGCTTCTTTAATATCAGCCTAGTAGCTGATCTTAGGCCTGCCCTGCACTTTTTCTTTTTAAATTTTGGAGGTCAGTCCCGCTGGCTGGCAAGGCAACATCTGTAAAAAAGCACAAGGCTGGTGGTCCAAGTCCATGTTCTGTCAGTACTCAGGTGTGAGGGTTTTAGGCAAATCACATCCTTTAACCCCCTCAGCTGTAAAACAGGGACACCAGCATAAACTTAATTTGACAAATCTTCCTTGAGGCCTAACATATGTACAGCTTTGTTCTACATATGAAGGACTGTAAAGGTGACTGGACCCCTTTCCTGTGCCCTAACCTCATAATCTTTTCTAAGGAAAGCAAACAGGTGCATCTGTACTAGAAGCAGGAATGACTCAGACCAAATGTACTATATGACGGCCATAAAGAATAAGTATTGATGCATGCTCATAAACCATGGATGAACCTTGAAAACACTACGCTAAGAGGTGGGGGGAAGACAGATTATTTCGGACCCGGGCATAATGAAGAGATGGTTGGAATTAGTAAGGAAACTGTGAGGGTAGGGGCGGGCCGGGATCTCATTTATCTGTGCCCTGAGAGCCCCCACAGAAGTCTGGCACACAGCCCGTATCCTCGGCTTCCGACGGTGGGTAATGGTTACCAAGAGAGAGAAGACATGTTTCTCCAATATAAGTCATGCAGGGCGGTGGTGAATGACAGAGCTGGCCCACAGTCCCGCCAGAGCCAGAGAGCCCAGAAGGATGGTGCATCTCGGAACCGCCCGTCGCGCGGGTTTGATGGACGTGGGGTGGGGTGGGGGGTGCGGGCGAAATAGATGAATAATGAACGAACCACGCGCAGGTGGCTACCGGCTCGCGCCAGCGGAGGGAAAGGCGTGAGCAGCCTCGCTGATACCTGCGAAGCCGCTATAGTGGGACCCAGGCTCGTAGTGCCTCCGGCCGGAGGACACATCGTAGACGCGGCCGAGCAACGCCAAGTAGAGGCCCGGGTCCCCTGGGCCGCCGCGATAGCGAGACAGCTCCTCCGGTATGAAAAGGCGAAAGCCAGCGTGGGGACCCCACCAGCCCATAAGCCGTGCTGCCATCACCGCTGCTGCGGCTACAGCCAGGCCCAACAAAAGCCCACGGCCTCCGAGCCTCAGCATCGATACGGCCGCACGCGGACCGCACTGCCCAAGTTGCCGCCTCGGTCTACAGCCAAGATGGCGGAGACGCCGAGCGTGACGTCATCGGCGCGCGCGCTCTCGCTCTCCTCGCTCGTGCGCGCGCTCCCTCTCAGCTCGCTCTGTCTGTATTCCTGGCTCTGGCGAGAAGCTCGCTGACTGCGACTTTTTCCTTGTACTTTTTTTTTTTTTTTTTTTTGGAGACAGAGTTTTAGCTCTTGTCGCCCAAGCTAGAGTGCAGAGGCGCAGTCTCGACTCACTGCAACCTCCGCCTCCCGGGTCCAAGCGATTCTCCTGCCTCAGCCTCCCGAGTAGCTGGGACTACAGGCACGCGCCACCACGCCCGGCTAATATTTTGTATTTAGTAGAGACGGGTTCACCACGTTGGTCAGGCTGGTCTCGAACTCCTGACCTCAGGTGATCCACCCGTGTCGGCCTCCCAAAGTGCTGGGATTACAGGCGTGAGCCACCCGCGCCTGGCTCTTCTCGTACTTCTTGGCTTGCAGGTTGTCAGCCCCAACAAAGATGGCGGCAGCAGAGGCTGCGGAATGACGTAGATGTTGAGACAGACTCGTCCTCTGGGAAATCAAGGTTGCACCCTTTGAGGCGGTGCTCCCCGCCTAGCTGTCGTGAGTTGGTAGAGGCCTGCTACCTACGTGACGGCGCCTTTGCGACAGCAGTCGTCGCTTGACGGCCAGGAAGCCGGAAGCCGCAGCCGCCGCCGTCGTCTCCTCCCCGTCCCCGCCCGCCGGCTGCTGTCGGAGGTTGACAGGTCGAGGCGGGGAGGCGGCGGCGGCTGCAGAGCCGGGCGCCCAAGACGGAGACCTCATGGGGAACGCTCCGAGTCACAGCAGTGAAGACGAAGCGGCAGCTGCCGGGGGCGAGGGCTGGGGCCCACACCAGGACTGGGCCGCGGTCTCGGGCACGACCCCCGGCCCGGGCCTCGCGGCTCCAGCGCTACCGCCAGCCGCGGCGCTGCTGGAGCCGGCCAGGCTGCGAGAGGCTGCCGCTGCGTTGCTGCCCACACCCCCCTGCGAGTCGCTGGTGTCGAGGCATCGCGGCGCGTTGTTTCGCTGGCTGGAAGAGCGGCTGGGCCGCGGCGAAGAGTCTGTCACTCTGGAGCAGTTCCGGGAGCTGCTGGAGGCTCGCGGCGCCGGCTGCTCTAGCGAGCAGTTCGAGGAGGTCAGGGCCGGCAGGCGACTGCGGGGGTGGGGCAGGGCGGTCGCCCCCAGGGGACTGAAGGAAGAGGTGGGCATTTGCTTTGGAGAGGCCAGGCGGGGACTGCTATGAGGTGTTCCCAGCTTTTCACCAGGCGTTTGCTTCGTCTCTCTCTGTGCTGTGTGAGCGGTCTGGAAAGCCTGCATGAGGCCGTCCTTGCTCTGAAGAGCTGGACAAGCCCAGATGTCTCTGTATGTTGTAATGCAGACCTTTGTGCAGTTGATGGACGCTACTCTCTGGAGACCTTTTATCAGGTTCTAGAACAGTTTGGAGAGAAAAGAGATGTGAGGATAGGAGGAGTGGCGCTGAAAACCATTTTTTATATTGTCCTGTCCACGTTTTTACACAGCACCTTCCGAATTCAGTGTGGGCACCGAATGAGTGTGGAAAGACAGTAGTAACGTACTGGAAAGGCTCACATTCTGAAACCTATCCTCCTGATGCAGAAACTAGCTTTCCCAAAATACGCATTGGTTTGTAGACCCTTAAAGAACTATATGTTAGACTCATTTAAACCTTCATAGGATCTGAAACTGATAGGTAAATACCGGGTTTCCTACGTCATTTCACAATTACAAGTGAATACTTGTAATTACACGGTTCTTCATATAATCACCAAGATCATGTCTGCTAAATCATTAAGAGCAAATTGATTTAGGAACAAAATATTTTCCTTGGACGGCGTCTTGGGAGTTATCTGCTGGGTACTTCGAGTTAAGAAGACTGATCCAGGGTTACCCAGTGAATCATTCGTAAAACTGACACTATCACCTGGATCTCTTGCTTTTTTTTTTCTTTCTTTCTTTCTTTCAATTTTTGTTTTAAATTCAGGCGTACATGTGCAGGATTTGGATTTGCAGATTTGTTACATAGGTAAACTTGTGCCATGGTGGTTTACTCCACAGATCATCCCATCACCCAAGTATTAAGTCCAGCATCCATTAGCTATTCTTCCTGATGCTCTCTCTCCCCCCACTCCCACCCTATTTTTTGTTTTTAATGTCTCACTACCTCCTTCCTGGGATCCTATTTCTTTTAACTCCACGGTATGACAAAAAAGGTACTTAATTTGTGAAAATGAGTCAGCCAACCATGTAGAATCTTCAGTGGCCACGAAGGGTGAGTACATAAAGCAGTAAAGCAGCAGGTACTTGTAATGCCTTTAAACGATTCTGTTTACTTGAAAATCAGAGGCTTTTAACATATTTTAAGAATGTCTTCCTGTACATGGCCAGAATTCAGATAATGTAGTTTGTGTGTTTCTTATGAAAAAAGTGCCTCTAAGGCATCCCAGCCCTTAAAAGTAATAGTCATGGCCGGGTGTGGTGGCTCATGCCTGTAATCCCAGCACTTTGGGAGGCCGAGGCGGGAGGATCATCTGAGGTCAGGAATTTGAGACCAGCCTGGCCAACATGGTGAAACCCCATCTCTACTAAAAATACAAAAATTATCTGGGCCTGGTGGTGGGTGCCTGTAATCCCAGCTACTTGGGAGGCTGAGGTGGGAGAATCGCTTGAATCCAGGAGGTGGAGGTTGCTGTGAGCCAAGATCGCACCACTGCTCTCCAGCCTGGTCCACAGAGCGAGACTCTGTCTCAAAAAAAAAAAAAAAAAAAAGTCAGTTAGTGAAAGATCTCCTTTTTTTTTTTTTTTTCCAAGAATACATGTAGCACCTTCCCTCTAGTATCTATCTGTATTATGAGAATATGAAGTGGTAATGGAAAGAACCATGCAGAACTGCTCAAGGAGTTGGCACTTTGCAGATTTGTGCAAAGGCAAATGGAGAGAAACACCGTTTACATTCTGAGATGAGATCTGACAGAAATAGAACTTTATGTAGAGTTCATAAGGTCAAGGTGTGGTTCAGAAATCACTGAGGGGTTGCGGCATTATTGTTCACTGAGCAAATGTTTATTGGGCGTATATTGAGTGCCACTCACTTGGATGACAGTGGACAAAGCAGATACTTGCTCTTAAAGAGTATGTAGTGTGGTGGAAGAGACAGGTATTAACCCAGTAATTCTAAGATATGGTGAATGTTAACCAAGGGAAGGTATAAGGAATAAGTAGCAAGTGTATTTAACCTCACCTAGGGCTCAAGCAAGAGTTACCTGAGAACCTAACATTTCAGCCACAGGTGAGTGTTGAAAGCAGACAGTGTTACAGGAGGTAGTAACAGCGTTTCAGGCAGAGGAAATGGTATCCACAAAAGTCCAAAGTCCAGAGAATCTGGAAGAAGTCTGGTGTGGTGTATTAGGGATAGACAAATCTTTTTCAAGGGACAGAAAACCTAATGCACCAGGGGTTTAAACAAAGAAGCTGCTTTCTTATGAAAATGTTCAGGTAGGTGGTCCAGGGTTGATGTGGCAGTTTTATCATCATCAGGGACATGGCTTCATCCATCTTGTGCTGTCATCCTCCACAGACATCTTCCACTTGGTAATTCTATTGACTCCTTCTCCTGTCATTTCCACATTCCAACAAGCAAAAAAGGGAAAAGGGAAGGAGAGAGCCATGCTCACTCTCTTAAGGGGAAAGCTTACATCCCATAGGCCAAAATTCAGTCACATGGCCGCATTCAGCTGTGGGAGAGGCTGGGATTCTTTTTCCATGGCCATATATTCAGCTAAAACTCAGGACTTAATTATTGAGGAAGGGGAGAGAAAATATTGAGTTATATTTGGCAGTCTTTGATTCCTATAGCTAGGTCATACAATTCTGTGAGTGAGGCTTAGCCAAGGTTTAAAAACCTGATCGTGATAATCTCACAGTGGCTACCTTCTCTCGATAATCTCACGATGGCTGCTCTGTCTGTAAGGACTAGTAAGTTAGGACTAGCCAAACAATATAAGAATTAGCCATGCATTTGATTCCGTGCTTTAAAAATGTCTATCCTTAGACTTGAGTAAGTATATACTTTTGTGTATACTTACACAGTTAATTCTGTGTTGATAATCTACGTCTAAGCTTTTGAGAGTATATTGCTATATTTTACTACAAGATGAAGGGCTTGTGAAATAATAAAACGTCTTTATAGTAGCAACGAAAATGACAAGTTGTTTCCGTCATTCATTTTTGTGAGAGCTAACATGGTAGAACAATTGCCATGGCTGTGCATGGTTTATTATAATGCTGAGAGTTTCCAAGTGTTCCATGTTTCTTCTTTGGCTTCCCAGCTTACACTGCCGTTCGTGTCCACGCAGCTGTCTTGCTTTCACATTCCTGTGACCTCAGTTACTTCAGGAGGTATTATAAAGAAGTTCTTAGAGTTGGACCATGGACTAAAATCTGAAGCCTTATCATTTTATAGTACAACACACCTTTTCTCGTGGTAGGTGTGGTCCAGGGAGAAAGGACTCTTCAGTTTGTTCACAGGGAGCAATATTTAATTGACTGCCGTGTAGAGGGGAAATAGAATTAAAATTAAGTTCTTATTTCACATCAGAGGTTATAGATTAGATATTTATACCCTTAGAGTATGATTCTAGAAAATCTAGGGCAGAAAAGTGTGCTGAGCACAGGGTAATAACAGATGTCCCTAAAGTGAAATTTCATATGAATAGGTCCTGTTTTACTAATTTGCCACGTAGTTTTGGTGCCTGCTTTGTGAAATTCGTGGGGTGGTAAGCTGTAAGGGAAGGGCCTTTTTGATTCATCTCTGTTCGTCGTCTTAGCACAGTCCTGGGTGGCTGCCAATGCCCAGGTGCTTTGGGGGACTGTGGAAGTTGTAGTCCACACACACTCGAACCTTGTATTTTATATTCAGTCTGTAACCTTTTAATAATAAAATATTTCCTGACATTGAAGGAAACAGTTAAATACGGTTTTCGTGAAAACTTTGAAAGGTTCTTAGGCAGTTTTGGGTTTACAGGAAGTTTGTAGAAAAGCCCTATGCCCATCTTCGTATTATTATGTGAAAAGTATTAGTCAACTTATTTAGAATGGCTTTGAGCCCAGGAACTCTGCCCGCAGGAATATGCAGATGTGATTATCCGCCCTTTTAAGACTATAGACTGTAAGAGCTGTGTGTGTGCACCTTAAAGCAACAGCAGGCTGCCAGCTTTTCTTGCCCTCAGCCGGGAGCCCTCGGCTCTCCACTACCTGAGGGACCAAATCTGTATTTGTCTGAATTGGTTGAAGCCCATACATCAGCCTAACTCTCTTACCTAATTTCCCTTCCCCACCTGCACCAGCCCTGTGCTAGCTAGTGGGATACCTGCTTTGTCCCTAACTCCCTTACCTAATTTATCTTCCCCCGGCACGAGCCCTGTGCTGGCTAGTGGGATGCCTGCTTTGTCCTGTGTATGGACCTTGCT